GCTGGAGAAGAGGGGCACCACCACCTTGAAGGAACATGAAGGGCTGTTTTCTTTGAATCTGCACTTGCCTCCAAAAAATGAGTAAATGGGCCGGGCGCGGTGGCTCACGCCTGTAATCCCAGCCCTTTGGGAGGCCGAGGCGGGTGGATCACGAGGTCAAGACATTGAGACCATTCTGGCCAACATGGTGAAACCCTGTCTCTACTAAAAATACAAAAACTAGCAGGGAGTGGTTGTGGGTGCCTGTAATCCCAGCTACTCAGGAGGCTGAGGAGGAAGAATCACTTGAGTCTGGGAGGCGGAGGTTGCAGTGAGCCAAGACTGCACCACTGCGCTCCAGCCTGGCGACAGAGCAAGACTGTCTCAAAAAAAAAAAAAAGTGAGTAAATGGGAAATAGAAGTCTTGTAGTTGAGTTTAGACTTTGCGGACTTTTAGAACCATACGTTTCACGTGCCAGAAACAAAAAACTAAAAAACTTAAAATCAGTAAGGAATCAAAATGAAATAGAAACAAGTGAAACTAACGTGATTACAAGCGAATAACTTGTAATAAACCCACAGAGTGTTTTTGTGTATGTTTGTTGTTTGTTGAGATGAAATCTCACTCTGTCACCCACGCTGGAGTGCAGTGGCACAACTATAGCTCACTGCAGCCTCCAACTCCTGGGCTCAGATGGTCCTCCCACCACAGCCTCCAGAGTAGCTGGGATTACAGGCACATGCCACCATACTCGGCTCATTTATTTTATAATTTTTTATAGAGATGAGTGCCTTACTTTGTTGGCCAGGCTGGTTTCTAACTTCTCACCTCAAGCAATTTTCCCCCCTCAGCTTCCCAAAGTGCTGGGATTACAGGCATGAGACTGCACCCAGTCACAGTTTAATATATACAAACACAGATACGGTTATAATGAAATAATTTATATGTGTATAGTGTATAACCTAGCTGTATCCATTAAGAAAGCCAAGAAGAAATGCCATCCATAGCAACATATCTATCTGACACCAGGATCTTGGTTTCCAAACACCACTTTGTTTTTGTTTTTGTTTTTTTTTGACATGGAGTCTTGCTCTGTAGCTCAGGCTGGAGGGCAGTGGCTTGATCTCAGCTCACTGCAGCCTCCACCTCCCGTGTCCTGGTTCAAGCAATTCTTCTACTTCAGCCTCCCAAGTAGCCGCCAAGTAGATTACAGGCACGAGCCACCATGTCCAGCTAATTTTTGTATTTTTTAGTAGAAATGAGGTTTCACCATGTTGGCCAGTCTGGTCTTGAACTCCTGATCTCATGATCCGCCCGCCTTGGCCTGCCAAAGTGCTGGGACTACAGGCATGAGCCATCCCGCCTGGCCAATACCACCTTCTAAACTAAAAGGAACCAGGGCTCCTTGGAGAAATGACTGATTGTGGGATATGTCAAGGCAAGCATAAGATGAGCCTGAATTCTGTGGTGCCAGAAAGACAGTGCTCCAGAAGGTTGGGATGGCTGCAGAGAGGCCAACTTGAAGGGACTCCTAACACCTCAATCTGGACAATGTGAGCAACAAAATACACAACAGCAATGGATTAGAATCCATGGAATAAAAAGATGTACTAACAAAAATAGGCTGGGCAGGGTGGCTCACACCTGTACTCCCAGCACTGTGAGAGGCCGAGGTGGGTGGATCACTTGAGATCAGGAATTCAAGACCAGCCTGGCCAAGATGATGAAATCCCATCTCTACTAAAAACACAAAATTTGTTTTTGCGGTGGGTGTCTGTAATCCTGCCTACTCAGGAGGCCGAGGCAGGAGAATTGCTTGAACTCAGGAGGAGAGGTTACAGTGAGCCGAGATCATGCCACTGCACTCCATCTAGACTTGGGAGACAGAGCGAGATTCTATCTCAAAAAGAAAAAAAAAAAAGATATGCTAACAAAAATTAACAACTGAATAGAAAAATGATAAGAGATGGCTCTTTCTTTCTTTCTTTCTTTCTTTTTTTTTTTTGAGACGGAGTTTCGCTCTTGTTACCCAGGCTGGAGTGCAATGGCGCGATCTCGGCTCACCGCAACCTCCGCCTCCTGGGTTCAGGCAATTCTCCTCCCTCCGCCTCCTGAGTCTGGGATTGCAGGCACGAGCCACCATGCCCAGCTAATTTTTTGTATTTTGAGTAGAGACGGGGTTTCACCATGTTGACCAGGATGGTCTCGATCTCTCGACCTCGTGATCCACCCACCTCGGCCTCCCAAAGTGCTGGGATTACAGGCTTGAGCCACCGCGCCCGGCGAGATGGTTCTTTCTTATAGGAGAATCCTAACTAATAAATGTAGGAGTAATGGAAACAAAAATCATTTAACAAATGGCACACTAATAGTTATTTTCGGGAAACACTCATCAGTGCTAAAATCAGTGAGAGGAGTATGATTAGAAACAACATCTTTCAGGGCCTGTGGCTCAGGCCTGTAATCCCAGCATTTTGGGAGGCTGAGGCAGGCAGATCACTTGAGGTCAGCAGTTCAAGACTAGCCTGACCAACAAGGTGAAACCCTGTCTTTACTAAAAATACAGGGAAAAAAAAAAAATAGCTGGGCGTGGTAGCAGGCGCCAGTAAGCCTACCTGCTCAGGAGGCTGAGGCGGAATCACTTGAACCCAGGAGATGGAGGTTGCAGTGAGCCAAGATCGCGACTCTGAACTCCAGCCTGGTGACTGAGAGAGACTCCGTCTCAAAAAAAAAAAAGAAAAACAAGATCTTTACATAGTCGCAAAATATTTCCTCACAAGATACTTATTATTTACAAAGGGAAGGACCCTAACTTTATGGATACACTTGGCGGGGACCACCTCAGCCACAGGGACCTGACTAGCACCAACAGCCATGGCCACCCTGCGCCTTCTGAGACACTGGGAAGGACGCAATTGCCCTTTTGAAGCTTTCTTGCCAAAAATGCATAATATAAAATCAATAGCGAGAAAACATCAGAGAAACCCAAACCAGGGGGCATTTTACAAAATAGCAGACTCATCACTGGACCCTAGACCACAGTAAAGTCATCCACGAGTTAGCTGCTAAGTGAGAATAAATCCTTGTGGGAAGCAGAAATGCTCCTTTTAAAATTTCCTGTCTTGTTAAAGAATAGGTGTGCCAATAACTTTGTAAAGCCCTATCCCGTGTAGCTGTTAGACATGCCACGCTTACAAGCATGTAGCACATTCAATGTCCCTGTACTTTAACCAGGATACCTGTGCTGGAGATGCTCACAGGCATGTCCCAGCTCTCCCTGGCTTCTGCCTGTTTAGAAAAGTTTTAAGTTGTTAGCCAGTCGGGTTTTAGTTTAGATCGTGAGGCGTGGCTCCAGCCAATGGAGATCAGACACAGCCGCGCGGACGACCCGAGATGCGTGAGGAACACATTCGTGTGAATTCCTTTGTTCACTGTACTCTCCAGACAACACGGTCAGCGAGGGCACCCTTCCCGCAGTCCGGGAAGTAAAACCTGCACTGCTGAAAGCTCTTCTGTCTCAGTGCTCATTTTTCTTTGCCGCAGACGTTGGCGTTCGCGTTCATATAACGCCGCTCTCTGCCCTGCAGGGCTGCTGGCAGCACGTGCGTTGTATGAACACGAACGCCAACGTCTGCGTGCTGCGGAATGAACTGTGGTTCTGTTCGGCAAGAGGTCAGCATCCTAGGGGCTCTGCGCAAAAGGCACAGGCGAAATCTTTGTACTCCTTTGTATCCTATTTCTAAGTTGCATATTTTTTTTTTTGAGACTGAAGTGCAATGGCGCGCTCCCGGCTCACCGCAGCCTCCGCCCCCAGGTTCAGGCGATTCTCCCGCCCCAGCCTCCCGAGCAGCTGGGACGGCGGGCGCGCGCCACTCCCCGCGCTTTTGTAGCTGTAGCGGAGACGGGGTTTTGCCGCACTGGCCCGGCTGGTCTCGAACTCCCTCTCCCGGCCTCCAGCCGTCTGGGGTTACAGGCGCGACCCACCGCGCCGGACTGTTTTTCTTTAACTCCTACTCAGCGGGGCTGCCTGGGGGCGGAGCCGCCCTTGCCGACGGCGGAACCCGCGAGCCCTCCCCGGGCCGGGGCCTGGCCCGCAGCACCCACCGCCCCAGGCCGCCCGGGGACGCCGCAGCCTCCGCGAGGGGGTCTCCGGTCCGGGCCGGCCGGGCTGAGGGTCGACCTCGCGCTCGGGGTCCCCACCAGAGCGCTGCGTCCTGCGGGACGGCAAGTCCCGGCGTCCTCCACGGAAAAGCGGGGCGCGCCCCCCGCCGTCCCCCGCCCCGTGCCCCCCGCCGCCCCCCGCCCCGTGCCCCCCGCCGCCCCCCGCCGTCCCCCGCCCCGTGCCCCCCGCCGCCCCCCGCCGCCCCCCGCCGTCCCCCGCCCCGTGCCCCCCGCCGCCCCCCGCCGTCCCCCGCCCCGTGCCCCCCGCCGCCCCCCGCCGTCCCCCGCCCCGTGCCCCCCGCCGCCCCCCGCCGTCCCCCGCCCCGTGCCCCCCGCCGCCCCCCGCCGCCCCCCGCCGTCCCCCGCCCCGTGCCCCCCGCCGCCCCCCGCCGTCCCCCGCCCCGTGCCCCCCGCCGCCCCCCGCCCCCCCCCCGCCCCCCGCCGTCCCCCGCCCCGCGGCCCCCGCCGCCCCCCGCCGCCCCCCGCCGCCCCCCGCCGCCCCCCGCCGCCCGCGCCTCACCGGAACGCGCCCCCGCAGCGCCGCCCTGTCCCGCCGCGTTGCCACAGCGACCGGGTCCGTCGGTCGCGTCCGGCGGCGCTCGGTGCAGCGCTCGGGTCCCGCCGGCAGGAAACCGGGTCCCCGGCGCTGGGTTCCGGCCCGGATTCCGCCCCCCTCCCCTCCCCTCCCCTTCCCCGCCCCTCCCCTCCCCTCCCCTTCCCCGCCCCTCCCCTCCCCTCCCCTCCCCCGCCCCCTCCCCCGCCCCTCCCCTCCCCTCCCCCGCCCCTCCCCTCCCCTCCCCCGCCCCTCCCCTCCCCTCCCCCGCCCCCTCCCCTCCCCTCCCCCGCCCCGCCGGCTTCCGCGCGCTGCGCGAGCCCGAGAGGCGCCACGAGGCCCGCCGCGGATCGCGGGGTGAGCCCGGCCTCGTCACCCGTCAGCGGGGCGACCCCGGCCGCGGGCCTGGAGACCCCGACGGGGGGCTGGGGAAGGGAGGGGCCGGGACGGGCAGAGGCCCAGAGGCGCCGCCGCCGTCCTCAGGCTCGGCCGTTCCCAACCGCTCGGTCCTCAGAACACGGCGTCTGCTGTCACCGCCGGCGAGGGACGAGCTGAGCCCGGGACGGGGCCGCCGGGTCTCCGAACCCTCAGCACCGTGCGCTGGCCGCGGTGCCCGGTGTCGGAGCTCCCGGTGGGCAGCCGGCCGCGGGTCTGCCGCCAGCCCCGCGCGCACCGCCGCCCCGGCTCACCCCTCCCCGGGCCTCCCGCCGGGCTCCCTGCGGCCTCCCTCCCGCCGGGCACCCTGCGGCCTCCCTCCCGCCGGGCACCCTGCGGCCTCCCTCCCGCCGGGCACCCTGCGGCCTCCCTCCCGCCGGGCACCCTGCGGCCTCCCTCCCGCCGGGCTCCCTGCGGCCTCCCTCCCGCCGGGCACCCTGCGGCCTCCCTCCCGCCGGGCACCCTGCGGCCTCCCTCCCGCCGGGCTCCCTGCGGCCTCCCTCCCGCCGGGCTCCCTGCGGCCTCCCTCCCGCCGGGCTCCCTGCGGCCTCCCTCCCGCCGGGCACCCTGCGGCCTCCCTCCCGCCGGGCACCCTGCGGCCTCCCTCCCGCCGGGCTCCCTGCGGCCTCCCTCCCGCCGGGCACCCTGCGGCCTCCCTCCCGCCGGGCTCCCTGCGGCCTCCCTCCCGCCGGGCTCCCTGCGGCCTCCCTCCCGCCGGGCACCCTGCGGCCTCCCTCCCGCCGGGCACCCTGCGGCCTCCCTCCCGCCGGGCTCCCTGCGGCCTCCCTCCCGCCGGGCTCCCTGCGGCCTCCCTCCCGCCGGGCACCCTGCGGCCTCCCTCCCGCCGGGCTCCCTGCGGCCTCCCTCCCGCCGGGCTCCCTGCGGCCTCCCTCCCGCCGGGCACCCTGCGGCCTCCCTCCCGCCGGGCACCCTGCGGCCTCCCTCCCGCCGGGCTCCCTGCGGCCTCCCTCCCGCCGGGCTCCCTGCGGCCTCCCTCCCGCCGGGCACCCTGCGGCCTCCCTCCCGCCGGGCTCCCTGCGGCCTCCCTCCCGCCGGGCTCCCTGCGGCCTCCCTCCCGCCGGGCACCCTGCGGCCTCCCTCCCGCCGGGCACCCTGCGGCCTCCCTCCCGCGGGACTCCGGGTGCCGGCGGCTGACCTCGCCATGGAGCCTCCCGGCCTCTTCCGGGGTCCCCAAAGCCCGGGATCCAGGACAAGAGGCGTGAGGGGACCCCGCCGGGACGGGCCGGCGCACGCCGCTTCCCTTCGGGGGTGCAGGATGCCCGCGTCAGGTTGGCAGAGGCGGCTCCTCCCTCCGCCTGGCTGCCCAGCCCTGCGGCAGGAGCGGAGCGGAGCCAGGGAAGGGGCTGGCGCGTGCGGGCGTGCCCTGCCCCCGGCCGCGGTCGCTCCAGGAGGAGGGCAGTGGTCACTGACCGCGGGCCCGGGTCCCGGGGAAGGGAGAGCGCGGACGGGAGCTCGGTGGGAGGCGCCCGCCATGCGCTCCATGTGCCCGACAGCTTGTCCCGGGAAGCTGGAGCTGCCCTGCAACAGGGTGCTGGCCGTGTTGGCCGAGGGCTGGGGGCAGGGAGGCTCCTCTGGACAGGATGACCCTCCAGGAGAGACAGTCCAGAATGGGACCAAGGGCCAGACGGCGGCGGCAGACACTCCCCGAAGCCGCGGCTACCGTAGCCGCTTCCCGGAAGTCAAGGCGTGGAGGCAGGGCCAGCGCTGCCGGGGATCCCGGTGTGGACGCAGGCAGGACCAGGGGACGCTCCCTCGAGGCCACTGTGGAACGGGTCGTGCCCCCCAGCAGGTGGGAACCGAAGGGGGTCCTCCCAAGGCCGGCTGCATGGGCATCCGTCTTCCTCGGCGGTCTGGTCCACCGCAGGGACGGCAGCATGTGAGCAGGAGGTGCTTTGAGGGGGCTGGGGGGACCCTGAGGGACACATGGCATTTTCACACTGTAACCATGTCCCTTAGAGACCACAAAGTCCACCCCTCTCGGGGTAAAAATGAGGAAACTGAGGCTGGGAAGGTAAGGGGCTCTTGTAGCCCCTTGAAGGGATGGGGCTGGACTCTGGCCCACTGTCAGTGTGGAAATGGGGGCCAGTGTCACGGCGAGGGGCAAGGGACGGGCACTGTGAGAAGCCCGTGCCCCTCCCCAGTCCCCCAGGGGGTTCCGCTGAGTTCCCAGCACTGAGTCATGGGCTGGACGCCTGCGGTCCTGTCCCGACAGGAAAGTGGGAACCGCTCCGTCGCGAGGTCACGGGGAACCGCTCCATGGCAAGGTCACGGGGAACCGCTCCGTCGCGAGGTCACGGGGAACCCCTCCATGGCAAGGTCACGGGGAACCGCTCCGTCGCAAGGTCACGGGGAACCCCTCCATGGCAAGGTCACGGGGAACCGCTCCATGGCAAGGTAACGGAACCGCTCCGTCGCAAGGTCACGGGGAACCCCTCCGTCGCAAGGTCACGGGGAACCGCTCCGTCGCGAGGTCACGGGGAACCCCTCCATGGCAAGGTCACGGGGAACCCCTCCATGGCAAGGTCACGGAACCGCTCCGTCGCAAGCTAAGACTTCTGTTACCCACAACCTCTCCCGCCGTCTGTCTCGCGGACTCCCTGCTCGCTGTTGTGGCTGCGTCAGGGACTCCTCGTTTCTCACTGTGGGCCCGGGGCCCCGGCCTCGTCTCAAGCACCTGAGAGTAGAGGAGACGTCCCTACTCTCTTGTCTTCTCCCCGTGAGGGGATTCCGGGGGTCAGGAATTTGAGGGAGACATCTCCATCTTCCTGAACCCTCTCCGGTGTTCGGTAGGGCAGTCCGGGACGCCGTCCGAACATCTCCGCAGCAGGGCTGAGGTTTGGGTATTCAGAAGCCCTGTTTATAAACCCAAGCCCTGCCTAACCGCAGGACCCAATCTCCAGCTTACGGTACTAAAACGTCTATCTCAGATTCTCAGGTTGGCCCTTTTGGCATATAAGCTCTCCTTAATTAAGTAACTCTTGTTTTCTTTTTTCCTCCTCCTCTTCTATTGAGGTCTCTCTCTCTCTCTCTCTCTCTCTCTCTCTCTCTCTCTCTCTGTTACAATTGTCACATTATTACAGCCTGTAGGCTCTCTCAGCCACCCCTCCCCCCGGGAAAGGAGTAATTCTGCCTGTGTTGAGTATAATACTCCTCATATTCATTTCTAACCCCTAATTACCCCACAAGAGTGAAGGATGGGCAATCAGAAGTGCTGCCCAGACCCTAAATTGCCATTAGGATACCTAGTCCAAAATCTACCCAAGCTAGGTCTCTCCATTAAAAAGGAAAGGCTGCTTTTCCTCTCCACCATGGCCTGGCCACAATATCCCCTAGACAACCAGCCTAAGTGGCCTCCAGAGGGCACGCTCAACTTTAAGGTCCTGACAGACCTAGACAACTTTTGCCAAAAGAACAGTAAACGGTCAGAGGTCCCCCATGTGCAGGCTTTTTTTTTTTTTTGAGACGGAGTTTCGCTCTTGTTACCCAGGCTGGAGTGCAATGGCGCGATCTCGGCTCACCGCAACCTCCGCCTCCTGGGTTCAGGCAATTCTCCTGCCTCAGCCTCCTGTGTAGCTGGGATTACAGGCACGCGCCACCATGCCCAGCTAACTTTTTGTATTTTTAGTAGAGACGGGGTTTCACCATGTTGACCAGGATGGTCTCGATCTCTTGACCTCGTGATCCACCCGCCTCGCCCTCCCAAAGTGCTGGGATTACAGGCTTGAGCCACCGCGCCCGGCTGTGCAGGCTTTTTGATACCTTCGCTCCCAGCCCGCCCTCTGCTCCTCTTGTGCCATCTCCCAGGTTCTGTTAGGCAAAGCCCCGCCTTTGCCCTCAGCCCTGCCCAGCTCCGCGCACTCTGAAGACCCGGAAGACCTGTCCTACCCCGCCCACTTTACCAACCCCCCTCTTTATGCGAGGCCTCAACTCCCTCCTCCCTCTGCTCCTTCTCCTCTCCAAAGCCCTAATATAACTTTGCCTGTCAGTGCTCGTACCTGCTCTCACGACCCCCAACTGCTCTGCCCTTTGCATGAGGTAGCCGGAGCAGAAGGCGTTGTCCGAGTGCACGTTCCCTTCTCTCTCTCTGATCTGTCAGCCATTGAAAAGCGCCTAGGGTCATTCTCTACCAATCCTACCGCGTATACCAAAGAATTTTGTTACCTCACCCAGGCGTCCGACCTAACCTGGCATGACACCTATGTGATCCTGTCTTCCACTCTTCCTCCTGATGAGCGTGACCACATTCTTACAGCAGCCCGAGCTCACGCTGATCAGGTACAGCTCAGAAACAATCAAATGCCAGTAGGCACGGTGGCGATCCCCGAGGCGACCCTAATTGGGACTATCAAACCAGTCAAGATGGCCACCGCTGCCGAGACCAAATGGTACAGTGCCTCCTGGCAGGCATGCAAAGCGCAGCTCTGAAAGTAGTTAATTACGTCAAGTTAAGGGAAATAACTCAGGGTCCTGATGAAAACCCAGCTGCCTTCCTAGACTGATTAACTAATGCTCTGATCCTCCATACCCGGCTAGACCTGGCATCCTTAGTGGGGGCTACAGTCCTAGCCACCCACTTCATCTCCTAGTCAGCAGCTGATATAAGGAGGAAACTTAAGAAAGCTGAGGAAGGCCCCCAAACGCCCATATAGGACCTGGTGAACACAGCATTTAAAGTTTTCAATGGCCGAGAGGAACAGGCTGAGGCCACCCACCAGGCCCATCTACAGCAAAAGGTAGGCCTCCAAACCCAAGCTCTGGTAGCAGCCCTGAGGCCGGCAGTCCATCAAACATCTGGTGGAGGGGGTCCATCAAAACCCTCCCAAAATTTGTCAAAGGCCCCGCCTGGGCCCTGTTTCAGATGTGGCCAGGAGGGACACTGGGCACGGCAGTGCCCCTGTCCTCGTCCACCTCCTGGGCCCTGCCCAAGCCGCAAACAGACTGGACACTGGAAGGTTGACTGCCCATCCCGGGCTGCAGGCTCACCCCCCACGCCTCCACGTGGAGGGCAGGCCGGTCCGCAGGAAGCAGTCCCTTCGCTTGAACTTCTCGGTCTTCTGAACGACTGATGCAGCCCAGACTCGAGGACCCCCATCACCCTCTCCGAGCCCAGGGTAACGCTGCAGGTAGCGGGCAAGTCCATTTCCTTTTTAATGGGCACGGGGTGCTCCCTATTCTGTACTGCCTTCCTACTCAGGACCTAGCATACCTTCCCAGGTTTCAGGCATGGGGATTGATGGAAAGCCGCCCTCTCCTAGCCAGACTGGCCCCTTAGCCTGTGTCCTTGAGGGGCACCCCTTCTCCCACTCCTTTCTAATCATACCCTCATGCCCAGTCCCCCTTTTAGGATGAGATATTCTCCAGACGGTGGGGGCCACCCTCCACCGGCCCTCCACATTCAAGCTCATCCTCTGCCCACCTCCTACTGCTGCTCTTAACCGGTATTACCCCCTGCCTTAACCCCTTGCCTAAACCCCATATCCCTCCTAAGGAAGTTAATCCCTCAGTATGGGATACCTCCCAGCCTGTGGTGGCCAGACACCACACACCAGTTAAAATACTCCTGAAGAACTCTACCCACTTCCCCTCACATCCTCAGTTTCCCATCTCAAAAACCCACCGCCAAGGCCTAAAGCCTATCATCACCCGGCTTCTGGCCCAGGGACCCCTTATCCCCACCAGTTCCCCTTGTGATACTCCTATCTTACCGGTCCGAAAGCCGACCGGCGACCACCGCCTAGTTCAGGACCTGCCCCTCATCCACCTGGTGGTGCCCAACGCATAAGGAAAATCCTCCCTTTACGCGCCTCCAGGAGGCTACTTTTGGTGTAATGGAACCCTAACCAAAGTTATTCATGCAGCCCTCCCTTTCCCTTGTGTGCCCGTCACACTAGTCCTGCAGTTAGAAGTGTACGGACAAGCTGAGTTCCTATCCCTCATCACACTGTCCCCTAATCACCGAAGCAAACGAGCAGTCTTCCTCCCGATAGTCGTTGGTCTCTCTTTAGCATCCTCTCTAGTGGCAGCTGGATAGGGAGTGGTGCCATGGGCTAAAGCGTCACTTCAGCCGCCCAACTGGAAGACAAGCTCCGTGTGCCTATTGAAGCGTCAGCCACCTCTCTAGCCTCCCTCCAGCGACCAATCACGTCACTGGCTCAGGTAACTCTCCAGAACCGACGGGCCCGAGACTTACTAATGGCAGAAAAAGGAGGTACCTGTCTGTTTCTCCAGGAGCAGTGCTATTACATCAATGAAACAGGTGGAAGACAATGTCAACACTCCCTATCGCCTCCAAGAGAACCTCCGCAGGAAGCAGAGTGCACCAGCCTCGCCTCAGCCGGTGGTTGACTCCCATCATTACCCTGTGACTATTGTGTGTCTTCTGCGAATACTCGCCCCTTTGTTTCTCAAGTTTTTACAGGCCCACGTAAGAGAAATTTCCAGGGTGGCCGTTAACCAGATGATGCTTCACCCGTGTATTCGACTCCCAGTCGAAGCACCAGCCCACCGACTCCTTCCCCCCACGTCGCCCCTATTCAGCAGGAAGTAGCCAGAAAGACGCGGCGTCCTATATATCATCAAAAAGGTCGGAATGTGAGGCTGGTTGCCTCTTCGGGAGTTCGGACACGCCCATCTCCCTGCCCCGCTTGAAAATTAGAATATGTCAATCATCTAGCCCCGCCTTGGAAATCCCCTCTGCACTCGGCACCTAGCCCGCTCACAGGAAGTCCCACCTCCCTACCAATAGCAGCTCCTGCTGTCCACATCCTGTCTCCCCAGAGCCAATCAGACACCTTCGCTCCCTATAAAACCCCACTCCCAAGAGGCAGCAGCGCGACTTCTCTGGCCCCTCTCCCAGGGATTGCAGAACCTCGCCCGGGAGCTAAAAATCGGAATTGGCATCTAATATTCTTGTGCTGGCCTCAGTTTCCTCGTTTTTAACTCGATGATAAACCTTCAAAGAATAAACTTTACACGGGCAAGTTGGTGAAACCCCATCTCTATGAAAGCATGAGCTGGGTGTGACGGTGGCGCTCGCCTGTACTCGGGAGGCTGAGGTCAGAGGCTCCCGTGAGCCTGGGAAGTGAAGGCTGCTTTGGGCTGAGAATGCACCACTGCACTCCAGCCTATTCCACACGTAGAATAAAACTAAACAAACAAAAAGGACAACCCAATATAAAAATGGGTAGAGGACTTGAATAAACCTTTCTCCAAAGAGATACAAAATAGCCAATGGGTACATGAAAAGATGTTCAACATCGTCAGTCGTTAGAGAAATGCAAATCCAATCCGTAATGAGATACTGCTTCCCACCCACCGGGACAGCTTCAGTAAAAACCAAACGGCCAGAAGCGGTGGCAGCGGCCTGGAGTGTCAGCCAGGCAGGAGGTGGAGGCAGGAGAATCACTTGAGCCCAGGAGTTCCTTCCTGAGCAACGTACAAGACCCTGGTCTCTGAAAAACAAACACCTCCCAAAAAACCTCCACAGAAAGTAACAAGTGCTGGTGAGAATGTAGAGAAACTGGGACGTTTGAACATGGCTATTGAGATTGTCAACCGCTGGTGCCTCTGGAAAACAGCGTGGTGGCTCTTCACGGAGAGGAGTGTCGCCTTGTGACCCAGCAAATCCGCTCCTAGGTCCACACCGAAGAGAAAGGACGACACCTGCTCACACAGATACTGGCACGTAAGCATTGTCGGCACCACTGTTCACAACAGTCAAAAGGTGGAAATGACCCAAATGTCCATCAACAGATGAGTGAAGAAGCGAAATGTGGTCCATCCATGCAAGGGAACTTTATTCAGCTGTAGAGAGAATGAAGGGGCCGGGTGCAGTGGCTCACACCTGTAATCCCAGCATTTTAGGAGGCTGAGAGGGCTGATCACTGGAGGTCAGGAGTTTGAAACCAGCCTGGCCAACATGGCGAAACCCCATCTCTACTAAAAATACAATAATTAGGCCAGGTGTGGTGGCACACGCCTGTAATCACAGCACTTTGGGAGGCCGAGGCAGGCAGGTCACCTGAGATCAGGAGTTTGAGACCAGCCTCACCAACATGGAGAAACCCTGTCAGTACTGAAAAAGAAAAGAAAAAAGAAAAAATACAAAATTAGCTGGGTGTGGTGGCACATGCCTGTAATCACAGCTTCTCAGGAGGCTAAGGCAGGAGAATTGCTTAAACTCGGGAGGCAGAGGTTGTGGTGAGCCCAGATTGCACCATTGCACTCTGGCTTGGGCAACAGGAGTGAAACTCTGTCTCAAAAAAATAAAAATAAAAATAGGCCGGGCTTGGTGGCTCAAACCTGTAATCTCAGCACTTTGGGAGGCTGAATCCAGCAGATTGCCTGAGGTTGGGAGTTCAGGACCAGCCTGGCCAACATGATGAAACCCCGTCTCTACTAAAAATACAAAAATTAGCCAGGCGTGGTGGCGCGTGCCTGCAGTCCCAGCTATTCGGGAGGCTGAGGCAGGAGAATCAA